GGGGGGGGTTGGGGGGGGGGGGCAAACGTGACTACTAGGGCAATTGCAAGTAGAGAAATGAATCCTCATAGCCCCTTTTTCATGGCATTCTTCCTCCCCCCTCCACCTCCTCATCAGTTACAGATAAACACTTTGTTTCATTTTTTCTCTCTCTCTCTCAGTATTTTTTTTAAAGATCTGCTGCACTGAGCTTTCAATTATTCAAGACGAATGTATACTTTATTCCCAGGGCATATTTTGAAAAAAAACAGTGAAGTAATCGGTCTCCTTATTCTACGCGCGCGCTCAATTTCAAACCGTAAAAGTAGGCAAAATTTTATAGAGCGTGTCCAAAGATGCACAAAAATAGTTTACCGGAATTTGGTTGGAAAGTTAGCAAGTCACGTAAGTTAAAGATGGAAATTTTGTCGTAGGAATTAAAAGCAATAAGACCTTAGTACATCTTAAATAATACGGTTAGTGTTGCTTTAGTAAAGTCTAAATTTTCAGATAATTAGATTTATTTAATTATAATTGCAAATCATTTCTCTTTTATGTTATATAAGTGTTGTGAAGCAAATACTCGGCCACTTGTCAAGAACCGGTAAGATGCCTATTTGAAACAGCGGATAAGTCTCCTTCCCACTTAGTTTAAACTCCACAAAACTTGAATTTTTATTTATAGTCTAGATGGGCGCGTAACTAGAATGCTCCACTTCCAAACTTGGGTTTTGGTTGTGAAAACCGCACTTCATTAGCGACGTAGTTTCATTAACACCAGCTCTATTTACTATGTCGTCATGACAATCGAGTGGCCCAGTTAAAAGGATATACAAGGAAGTTGTAATTAATCTAAAGATAATTTACATAGTGTGGACGTTAGTTTTAAGCGGTCGGGTTAGAGATAAATATTTATCTAAAGGTTACGTAAAAATTAAAACCGCCATTCGGTGTTTAAACCTCCTTCAAATAAGCCTTCCCACAAAACTGCATTTTCGTCGTACAGCTCTAAAATTTGAAAAGGTCTTTAGACGTAACTAAAAGCACGAATTTCTCCGCTTGTAATTTTACCTTGACGCTGATTGGCCAATTGTGCATTCGTCTATTCTCGCGCAATAAATCACTGATTTCATGGCCAGAAGATCCCACTAAAACACACATCGCACCTTCTGGGTTGACAGAAAGGCTGTCTCTAAAGCATTGTCTCTTCGTGATTCAAATAATTTTGTAGATGAGCTGTCTGGGATTCGCGGTAATAAAAACTATGACACTACTTTTCCCCCACAAAATTGGTTTCGCCTGTGTTAAAACTCAGTCATCACATTCGAACATTATATTTAGAAAAAAAATATGCTTCATCGTCTTAATATAAATTTGAATATATTTATTTTGGAAATAGATGTACTAATGATGATACTGTGAGCGAATAAGAAAAGCGTATATTCTGGAATTTTTTGCCAGTACTTTTTGCAAGAAGTCTGACTAAACCTATTCCCCCTATTCACAATTAAGGCAGATGTGGTGATCACTTTAACATACTTTTGTAATCATAAAATATAGTTCTTGCTTTCTCTAGTGCCCAAGGGGGGGGGGGTTACATTTAACAGATTTGCAAAATTGTTACCTTTGTCTAGTACAATTGAAAAGCATCATTAGTCTCCTTTGCCAAATTGTTATCTTAATTGTTTCTGAGTCTTACTTCAACCCCCCCCCCCTCCCTCCAACCCCGCCCTCCGAAGAGTTAGCTCTTTCTCCCAACTGCCAAAATTGTCATTTTTGATATGCTCTTTGCCATTCTCCCAAACTCCTGACACACTTTCAACGACATTAAGGCCGTGCCTCCTTTTTTGGGCTAAATATTGCCATTGTGGTTGCACAATTGTCCAACGTGTAAAGAATGTGGAATGTTAGAAATGCGTTTGATTTATGCAACGTGCAACTTGTTGCAAGAACTTCTTGCACACTTCTTGCCGTATCACGTGGACAGAAAAATGTTATTGGTTTACGTCAATTTGGCGTTACGGCGTATGCACTTCGTTTCTTCTTTCAAGCTAGTGGGATGAAAAAATACCCACTTTTTCTGGTCGCCAAATATAAAAAATTGAAGTTTATGGTGTCATTATGGCCATTCATATGACTATTTTCTGCGGTAGTGGACAATAACGCGGTGTTCCGAAATTATGGCTTAATCGGTCGGGAAGTTGTTTTAAAAATCTAGCGTTTCAATTCTGGATGGTCGACACAGTGTTCTTAGCATCCAATTTCGCAAAGTTTTTTCTTTTAAGTTGAACTGCTCACTGATCTGCACACGGAGTACTTTATTGTCTTAAAAAAATAAGGTTTGGTGAGCTTGAAGTTGAATGCAAAGTCCCATATTGTGAATTGAATTTCATGAATACAAAAATTGAACTTCTTGAACCGCATTAGTAATTCCCAATTTCTAATGCATTTGCCATACTACGCAACCAATTTCAATGCTTTCAATGTCACTGCAAATATATATATATATATATATATATATATATATTTATATATAGTTGCAATCTTATAAGACCACTTCTCTCCCCCCCCCTCACGTTTTAGTTGGCTGCCTTGCGTTCAATGCATTGCTGTGAAACTTGCTACACCAACGAGAATTTCCGTCCGCCAGTTCCAGTTGGCGACCGCGTGGTGGTCTGCTCATTCCCACAAAGCATCCGGCCGCAAAAATGTGATACCTAAACAAATATCCCTATGCAGCATAATGTTCCCCTCTCCCCCCCCTCTCCCCCCCAACACCCCCCCCCCC